CCAAGCTTTATTGTGAATATGATATAGAGTATTTGTATACATTTTATGTATATATTATTTTTTGTCCCTTAAAACTAAATGCACAGCATTTGTACTATACTGTCTAAAAGGATGGATATCTGAATAAAGACATCTTTAAAAAACAGGAATTGTGCTTATACCTTGATGAAGAAAGAAACAATGCTGCCTGCAGTCATTGTGGACATCCCCTCATCACGCGAGATGATGGGGATGGATCGTCCTCCTCAACCAATGCTGATGAACCCTCAGGGCCCCCGCAGCCCACTGCAGATTCAGCCCCAACCCAGAGTCAGTCTTCAGAAATTCCACTGGCACGTTCGTCCTCCAGAGAGAGATTATTAGAAGATACCCTGTCCCGTCAGAGATCTCCAATGAATGGTAAGGCCCATCCTTGGCTTTTATTTTGAGCTTTTTGTTTGTTTATCATCATGCTGATAAAATACAATATCTAGTAATAAAAAGCAATAGATATATACATAAAATGACATTTTGATATTTCAAATTTCAAATTTGTTTAATTTTGGCAAATACTTAAAGAAAGAAAGATTTTTTTTTATGCCTAAAATATATCAGATTGAATAAATAACCAATAATTTTATGAGCTTTTCCCTGTAGCCTGTATAACTTTTCTTATTTTCTAATATTGCCAACAATATTCTGGTTGGTTTATAATAAAGATATGAAAAGTATATGGAAAATATGTTCTTAGGAGATGTCATCCTCCCTGATTAGTTGGTGGTGGCACAGATGGATTGGTTAGGCTGTTTTTTATAGAAACTACATATTAGTATACACAGTACCAGTTTTATAGGAATTTAACTCATTAACCCCATGGATCCCGGTGCTGTGCTGCCTGCACATGGCCCAGAATCTGAGAATTAGGCTTACTTGAGTGGCCACCATCACAGGTGTGTGCCTTGTAGGCCAGGCACACACAAACACTCATAGGAGGTGTTAATACTTTGAAATGTTATTATCTCTTTTTCTGCATAAACATTTTTTGTTTTTTTGCCATTTTCTAATGTCTATATCTATCATTTGATATGCTGTATCCATGTGGATACAGACACCCTATCATCTCACTAAGTAGTCCATGATCTTATGCAATAATGTTGCATAACATTTGGATATTTGTCATTAATTTTTTTTCTTCAAAATATTAAATTTTCTGTAATACAACCCACACTGTCAGTCATGGCAGGCAAGAAAAGGATTCTGAACATGGAAATGATACCTTCCCTGGAGCTGGTACTTTTCCTGTCACGTCGCGGTCACGTCTTGGAAAAACTTGAGTTGAGAGACGGGAAATGTGAATGTCACCATGGCTGCGGCCAATTTGCTGTCAGTCGGGCAAATTGGCTGCGGCCCGGGTGACACGAACTTCCTGTCATGAGCGAAGGCCAGGGTGATGGAAAAGACTAGCCATGAGTGCACAAACCTCTTGGAGTATGATTTGACTCATTTGGTGCTTAAAAGGAGGCTTTAGCATTATTCCCATTGATAAATAAATGTGGAATGTAATGTGCTTAAGCAGTGACTGGAAGAGTGCCGTCTCCAGGGAGGATCCCATTTCCATGCTGCGCACCATATTCCTGGCTGCTGTGACCGCTGGTGCATGTCATATTGTGTAAAATTGGAAATTATGAAAAAATGAGATGTATGACACAAATAACAACATTTTATATGTTTTTGTTTTTCATTGCACTTAGTTCTATACTATGTAGAGAGATGATATGGAATCTATGCAAGGAAAATAAGCTATTATCATCTGGATAAAGTAAATCAAAAGACAAATATGGATATTGGAAAATGGTGATAAAGCTAAAAAAAGTTTACAAAAAAAAAATTTGCAAAGGGGAAGCTCAGTCTCTTGTCACTGCTCATGGGTTCTTTGTGTGCGCCCAGCCTACGTGGGATGTTGGCCACTTACGTAATCCATTGCCCAGGTTTTTGATACTGTGATATCTGTTGAGGCAACCTGATCCAAAGGGTTAATACTAGATGGCATATATTAATGCCATGATGATCTGGATCTATTTGCAGTGTGGCAAGTATACATGTCACTTGCAGTCAGACCTGCTCTATTGTGTATGCTAAACAATTTTGGCATGTTTAGCCCTGACTTTGGTAATTTAGGAGGTACAGTCCTCCATAGTAGGTATAGTTTCTTTTAGCCACATTTCCTAAAAATCATATCTGCTTCAGGCAAAATTGTAGAGAGCAGGGAAAATGTGCTAGTAATTTTTTGCAAGTGAGACTGATTGTGCATGGTACCCAGTGTGTGGCTCAATATGGTTGGGAAAACCTGTCATCATTTGGTTAAATTCCTGAAACCACATAAATTTGGCATTATGAATATCTAAACTAACAACATTGATTAAAGAAAAACATATATCTCAGATATATGAGATATAAAACTGAAACTGCACTGATTAAAATCACTTGAAATGTGTAACGATTTGAACTAAAGAACTAATGGCAAGATCTTGATTTTAGGGCCTGTAACATAATCAGACACTTTGATTGCTATATAGTGTTTGAGCAAGAGATAAATCAAACATTATTTTCTTTTGCTTATCAATTTTTTTTCCAACATCATTAATCTTACCATGTAATTTTTTGAATAAGCATATGATATTACATGAATTATACTAACTGCCTAAATATTATTTATGATACATAGTCTTATATTTCTATAATTTTGGCTTGTTACATTTTACCCACAGTTGCTGAGATTATGCCAGTTTGTGGTAGTTAAGGCCATATCTTACAAGGACTTTTCCGTCAATTTTTGTTTTTCTGTCTGAATTTGAGGCTTTCCACAAGTATTGTTTGCAAATGGAACACCTCCCAGACAAAGAATGTTATGACTGTTTCCGTCTTGACAAATTTCTATCTTGATCTTGTCGTACGAAGAAGCTATACAGCTAGAATGTTTTTTATTGAAAAATTAGATAGAATGAGTGAATGTAAACATAAGCTAATATTTTAGAACTTTCTTGTAGACAATATGCATAATCATGTTTTTTTAAAATAATGTAATATGTATGAGAATGTTTGTGTGATTCCTAGGACCTCACTCTGGTAGTGCCATGTTTGTTTACATAGGTAATGTTTACTGCCTTGGTAATGTGATAGGGTCAGTCGATTTTCATACAGAAAGTTAATTTAGGAATGCAAAAATTGATGGAAAAAGTGATAGTGTGATAGGGCCATTAGTGTGACTAACAACATGAAGTGCATTAATTTGACTGTTCCTTTGCAGAACAAGTAATGTCTTATATAAGGTCATTAGAGGCAAGAGTAATGATGTTAGAGACAGAAAAGCAGCAGCTTGGTGAGGAACTTGCAAAGATGGATCGGATCCACCCTGAAGGAGAAGGTTTGGAGTCACAGCTTGCCAATAAAGAGAAATCTGTTGGTTCTCGTCCACCTCAACCCCCACCGTATTCACTCTCGCATCATCTCCGGGCAGTTGGTTTAGGACTCACCAACAGAACTCCTTTAGGCCCAGGTCAGTTATATCACTTCTGCTTATATATGGAGTGCCTCCTGTTGTACAGTAAAATGATATTTTGTAATCTGGAGTTCATTAATGAACCTCTTTGGTGTGTTATGTAATTTTAGTAGAAGAAAGAAGTAATGTGGTTAGTACCAGAATATGTAATAATGTTTTCAGGGTCTGAAGCAACAAACAAATATGGAAAATATAAATAAAATATTTAAGTTCTCATCGTGATATTGAGATTACTCTAACTTTATATTTTACTCTTTTCAATCCAAGTTCAATCTAACAGTATTTATCTTTTCATATGGCAGGAATGTCTGTTGTTATGTAATACATTAATACTACACTGTTCTTTTTGTAGTTTCTTGCTTAAAATCTGAAAACAAATCTCCTGTAATCAAGTAGGCTTTGGCAATCCCATGATGTAATATTTCTGCTAATTATGTAAAAAAAAAAAGGAGTTATGACTAAATCTCTGACCCCTCCACCTCCGGCTCAGATGTTTACTTTTTTGTGTTTGAGCTATTATACTCGACGTTTTTTTTTTTTTTTTCTTTTTTGTCCCCCCCCCCCCAATTTATTTGGTATTCTCTGGTAGCTAGCTGGCAACTCTGCTTCTGAATCAGCTGACATCCACGAGAGAGGGAGAGTTAAGAGGCTGTGCTGCCTCGGTGTGACTTTGGGCCCGGCACCATCCCATAGTTGTGCCTATACATAGTGTGTGATGGGCTCTCATCACACACTAAAAGAACACTACTAATGATAGATGTTATTCCTGTAACTAATAAACATAATATGATGAGAAATACATCTCAATCATAGGTGCAGCAGTTGTTTATTCTTATGAAATGCCTCACGAGGCACTGAGAAGCCTGTGATGTCACAGGGTACTTCTACAATCATGTGCAGATATTGCCATTAATACCTTGCCAAAGGGGGGACCAGGTACCAGCTACACTTCAGAATACGATGTGAATACCCAAGAATGCATCAAGATTGGCGCAGAGATCAATCAGAATTCTCCAGAGAGAGTGAGTGAGTGAGTGAGTGAGTGAGTGAGTGAGTGAGTGAGTGAGTGAGTGAGTGAGTGAGTGAGTGAGTGAGTGAGAGACTGAGACTGAGAGAGTGGGGAGAGGGGGGGAGTATCCTGAACTTCAAAGCGCGATATCTCAAAACTACACCTTTGTCAACATTTTTGGTTGTTTCTCCATAACTACTTGGGTGATTCTAATGGGGTTTTGATTATTTGAAAGCTGAATGAATTTGTGATTCTCTCGATGATTTGTTTTTCATTTCATGGGATAAAAGTTTATCATATTTTATATAGATGTCAATGAACATTTAAAAAGATATATTTTTACGCTAAACTAAGAGGATATTTCAAAATCGAATTGTGTCTACTATAGGTATTGCTATAGAGTATATGTGGTAATTTTTTTAACAAGTACGGTCAATGGATAAGTGGGATTTATAATTTAAATTTTTTTTCCAAAAACTTGTTTTATTTTAAAATAACTTCATTGTTTATTATCCAAATGATATGAAACTTGGTGATGTAGATCGTAGTATATGTATATGACATATAAAAAAATTGCGAAAATCCAATCATAATTAATGAACTTCGTTCTTGGGTGCGACGTTCTTCTTGGCTTATTGGGGACACTAGAAGACAATTTTATTTCTAATGTTCTTTATGAAATGGAATGCAGCAATTTGGATACAGAGCATACTTGACCTATTGGTGAATGGATGATGTGGCATCACATCATGGGGAATAATAACAGATGTTATTTATCAACAGCTGGGATCTGTGGTACCATGAACTGGACAATTTTCCAGGCAAGGAGTGTCATACACTAGTTTATGCCAGTTCTTGTCTCCTACCGAAAATTTAATATGTCAGTTAAAGGCTCATGCAAGAGAAGATTACTTTAATTTTTTTTTCTTAGGTTCAGCAGAAAGTGATGATGAGCTCTTGGATGGACCTCCTCCACCATTGGTGTCCCGTCCAACAGCAGTTGCAGCAGCTATGAGAGTTCTGGAAGTGCAGGAGCAGTTAGAGGGGGCCTCACATCCTCCTGCAGTCCCTCCTCCTTCACAAGGTCCCCCTCCACCGCCTCATTCCTCCAACACAGGAAGCCAACTCAGTGCCCAAGATGCAGCTTTGGCAGATGGGGAAAAGGCACTTCTCAGGCAAATGTGCAATGTAAGTGAAGTTCTTTAAAGTTTTGTCAGATCATATTAGAAACATGTCTTTGATTCATTATATTCAGTACTGCCTGCTATGATGTTGAAATACATACTAGTATTTGTATAAAGTTATCTTTATGTATGATCATTCATTTCATAATTTCAGGTTGTGTGGAAGAAGCTAGAAGAGGTACCAAGTCAACATAGATAACAAGATGATATGCAGTGCATCCTTGCCTCTCCATTTTCTCATTTCCTTTCCTATTTTCTCTGCCATTGTCTCACCTTCTTTATCCTCATCTCTTCCCCCATGCTCTCCCCTCACTTCTCATTCCTGCTTCTCCCTTCCCTTTTCCTCTCCTCTTCCTACACTTTTCCACTTTCTTAGCCCTATCCTTTTCTCCTCTGCTATCTTATTTCTTTCTGTGAACCATTTGTAATATTCCAGTGATGGAAAATGAAGTGCCAGGTGTATGAAACAGGATGGCAGAAGAAGCAACTGCAGGCAGTGCTTGTGTACAATTGAAAGTCATTTACAAAAGTAACTATGAAAGTGAGGTGTTCTATAAACTCTTTCCTTTGATACCTTTGTCTTAGTTGCTGTTTGCAGCAAAAAGGGAAAGTCAGCCAGATTTACAAGGATAATGTAAGAGCACTACCCAGGTCTTGACATTTCTAGCTGTGTTTTACACTTACCTAAAACTGAGAATGTGTTTTAATCTGTGAATAGCACCATTCTTTGATGTATATGCTGAAATAGGTCTTTTCAAATTTACTGAAGAGTTGGGTCTATGTCTTGCCAAAGAAAATATATTAGATTTTTTTTAGATCTTGAAACATTTTTATAGAGAACTAATCCAGGCATTGCTAACATAGTACAGACAGTTAGGAAAACTAGTTGATAGGAATACAGTATAGAACTTAAGTAGAACTTAAACACCACGTACATATATCTTAGCCCAAATGATTATAGTATGAATTTTTGTTTTCTTTTTGTTTGTTAGTTCTGATATATACTTAATCATAAAAGATGTATGGTGAGAGTTTGGTTTGCTCTTTGCAACTTCTATAAGTCAGATATTTTTTTTACCTTAGACAGATTGAGTTATAACCATTCATACTTGACCATGGTAGAATGCCCTTTTTTGCTGAAGATAGCTCAAGCAGGCTTATGGAAACTGTCCAGCCTTCACAACTTTTGATTCTCACTCTTCAGGTGCCAAAGGTACAAAAAACTTTTGAAAACTCAGAGAAATTATCTTATGTCTAATGCTACATTATATGGAATACTCATGGTTTTGTAATTTTGTAGCATTTTAGTAGATAGGTGGTATTTACTTTCCACAAAAAATGTCAAAATGTTTATCATACTCTTATAGAATTTAAGAAGTCAATTTTGTGTTGTAATATGAGAAAGCTAGCTGTTATCATTTTTTACTTTATATACATATCATATATAATCTACATTGTATTATTTGTTTTTCAGAAAACTAAGTACGTATGTACATGCTCTTGTGCATTGGGGTATGTGGGGGTTTGTGGAGATACCCTTATGTGTCATGTGTGAGCATGTGTGTGGCAAGTATGTGGGTATGTGTATTTTTATGTGTCTAGGGGTGGGTGGAAGTGTAATTATGACTGTGTATGTGCTTTCACATTCAAATCTGTGTGATTGTATTGGCCATTATGTTTTTACACAAATTCAGATTCATATGATGTGTTGTGAGTTAAGATATACGTTCATACACTCACACTCACACTGACACACACACATGCACACA